TGGTAACACAAGAATACTCTATTACAACACATATCTAAACTAAGATTATTATCTAAATAATAACTTTCTTGAAGATTATCCATAATACTTATAGATAGCTTAGATCCAGTGTTTTTACTTTCTTCTCTATGTGAGATGCAGGCTGAAAAATACGGTGAAAGAAAACTGACCGAGATAATGTGATAGGTGACCATAGCCTATAATAACAGCCTATATGCTTTAGTTAATTTTTTTCTCCATACAAAATCTGTGTGGTTTCTCTGTTTCCAACTTCAGTAAAAAGCAAACCATACACTAAACCTAAGAAAAAATAAAATGCAAAACCTCATGAATTTACAAGAATATTTTAATTGGCACAGTTTGAACAGTAGATACAAATTCATGATTGTTGAGTGTGCTATTTCCAGAAATACCTCACTGAAGGATGTTATAAATCAGATAATCTTTTAGTCCATGTGGAATTACTTTTGGATCAATTCAATTTCCTATACTGTGCTGGGAATGAATTAAAACTTACTATTTATATTATGATTTGTGCGAACTTTTGACAAACTCAAAATATACAGATTTTTTTTTTTTGGCCAAAGATTGTTCCATTGAAAACAAATTTATATAATATGCCTGAGATTTATTTAAATAACCGATGCTTAGTCGCCTTTCGGTTTTGAGAGATACTGAACAAATTCCTTAAGAGGGAAGACAGTCATTTAAGTGTATCCCATCACAGATACCTCTGATTCTCACATCGTGGCAACTTTGTATCAACAGCTCTTTCTGAGTGTGAGGGAACTACCTCACAGACAGATTTCCAACCCCAGTGGAGCTAACTTGGGGCTGTAGTTTTCTAGAAAGGCTTGTTTGCTGATGCTATAAACCACAATATTGAAATGGGTAGAGCTCTTTGCCCTGGTAAAAACTTTAAGAGCTGTGGGCTATAGCATGAAATTTGAGCTTTCCAATGTTTAAGGAAGGTATGACCTTATGGTTCTAAACAAATGAAATAAAAAAGGGGAAAAGGGACCTTTTCTTTATTTCAGATTTCCTGCTCTTTGCGGTAGCAGGAAAGTTTATTTTGCCACAAACAAGTCTGCTGAGGTTGGATGCACCTGGCTAAGCCCTCATTTCATTCACAGTCTGAATACTTGTCAGCACTGTGGGTCCAATAATGGCCTTGCTAAGCTTTTCCCTTTAAAATATGACTCACAAGTGTTTAAAAGAAAAGCATCACTCATGAGTCATTCATTTATCCCTCACCCCTCAAATGTGGTTTGTGAAAGTTACTTGATGTCTGAGAAACCAAACAATTCTTGTTTGATAAAGGAAGGAGAAATGCTCATTGTATAAGTTCCCATTCCATTTGAGACTGAGTTCTGAGATTACAATGAGTTCTATATTTGATTCAGGCTACACTTTGCTGTCTCTTGGTCATAGCCACATCTCATCCCAGTTATCCCAATCTTCTCAAACAGAGCATAAAGGACTATCTCAGCTAACACAAGAGCTCAGTTACAAGACCATTGTGGGGTGGATCTGGTAGGGATGACAATTTAGTAGAAGGATGCCTAGGGTGTGAAGAGAGAAGAATGACTAACTCCCCCTCCACACCACTTGTCTAGATATTCATCTGGCCAACCTCTCCTCATCTTTCAGTCTCAACTCAAAGCCACTTGTGACTCCCAAGACTTAGAGGGCCCTTCTCATGCACATCCACAGCACATGTTCTTAATGAAAACACTTATTCTATTTATTACTAATTCTGACTTTACTTGCCTATCTCCCTTACTAAGCTCCTTGTTGAAACCTCTTACTAGTATCCTTACCAGTTACTAGTTCTTATCACAAATCAGAGGCTAAAAACTACTTATTGCATCACCGAATTATTAAATAAATAGGAATTGGATTATAAAACCAGGGGGATACAGGATTTATTTATTTATTATTATTATTTTAGTCGTAATAGGATTTTTATTAGACGGAAAGGAATACAGAAGCAGTAAAAAGCACCAGAGCCTCTGGCAAAGGGGAAGACCCAAGTTGGAAATCTCTCTCACGGGCCCTTTTGTCTAGGGAAGATACAGGTTTTAGTGAGATAGACTTTTGAGTGAGGTGGTCCTTTTTGCCTCTTTGAGTCAAGGGATAGAAACCTTTCGTGCTTCTCTAGGCTTTTTGGGCTACAGAGAAAAGTCCTAGAAAATTTTGAGGTTTATGAGCAATGAGGTATGTATTTAGCTTAGGGAACAATTTTGGCTTTGGAGACTTAGTCAAGTGAGGAGATGAAGCAAGGAACTTACGCCTTGGTTGACGCTACATGAAGGGAAAAGGAACCTGCAGATTTCCTTCTAGATTGTCCAGTCTAGTTCACCAAGATAGTAAAAAACAGAGATCCACGCAGTCTTGCTCAGCAGGAATAAAGACTGCATGTGACTGAAGCATTTTTTGCGTAACGTCTCTTAGGGAGACCAGAATGCGGTGGAGAAATACACAGTTAAGAATCCTACACCTTACATTAATGTTATGCATAAAACCCCTTTGAAATTGCAATCTATGTTCCAAATACATTTCACATAGGCAAGGACTTCAGTAGTATTTTGCTTTATATTCCTTTATATAATAGAAAAATAATTTTTTCTATGTACTAGGTTTCTGTTTTTAAGCATCTAGAAAGAGAAGAGTACAAAAGCTGATATATGTGTTATGATAGACTTAAGCAAATAATCTGGTTTAAGAAGCATAAACAAAAGATGAATTTCAAAGACACTTGAATCTTCTACAAGAATCCAATGATGAAAGCCAAATTTCAACACATGTAGCTCAGTTCTGAAAAGCCAGTCATGGGCTGTGTGTTAATTGATCAAACATGGTTGATTAACTAAGCTTTAAGTTTAAAAGGATAAACTTAACACAATCAACAAATTTAGATAGAATCAAGTAACTAGGTTTTTACTGCTTGTAGTTGGTGTGTTTCATTAGATTAGACTAAAATAGCAGAATGTCTGAATATAAAAAGTACAGGAATATGTATAAATAAGACTCAAAAATGATCCTCCAAATTGTCATTTGTGAATGCATCATGCTAAAGCTTCCTTTCTTTTTTATTACAAATGAATTGGAAGGAAGGACCTTCCTCAATGTCAAAGTAAATTTCCTTCAGTCCTCCTCTATTTTCTTTTATTATTTATTTATTTATTTTTGTTTTTGAGACAGAGTGTCACTTGGTCACCCTGGGTAGAGTGCTGTAGCATCATAGCTCACAGCAACCTCAAACTCTTGGGCTTAAGTGATCCTCTTGCTTCAGCCTCCCAAGTAGCTGGGGCTATAGGAGCCCACCACAACACCAGGCTATTTTTAGAGATGGGGTTTCACTCTTGCTCAGCCTGGTCTTGAACTCCTGAGCTCAAGGGATCCACCCGCCTCCGTTTGCCAGAGTGCTAGGTGAGCCACCCTGCCTGGCCCTTCTATTTTATTTTTTTATACATCACATTTAATATCTCTTCACATTTACAATTTCTATGGAACTTGTTTTTATTTTGTTTAATAGTCTGTTTTTTTCAATGTCCTCCTTAAATTTAATTTCTGCACCTTCTTTTCTAATTTTCCCTCTGCCCTCAGTCCAAACCTCATTCCTTTACGTCATTCTCTGAAGCAATATGGCCAATCTCAGCTTCTGTGACATTTCATAAGATTGGTCTTCAAGGATACATATCCTCAACCTTAGTACAGGCTCCTCTGTACTGGATATGGTAAATGGAAACAAGTAAATAAAGAATAACCTTTGGCCCTTGTAGTCCTTGAGGTCCGGGAGGTCCAGGGGGACCCTAAATCAAGAAAAGACACAATTTTAAAAAGTAGTAAGTATATGTATTAAAACTCATGCTTTAAATAATAAACACATTACACACTTCTCCTATTTCTGTCAGAATCAGATATCCCTTAGCCTTGATTATAATGGGAAGAAATTTCACTAGTTATATAATTATAAAATTATACACAGATATATATATACACTAAAATATCTACACATTTTAGGTCAAAAGAATACTGAAGATGCTTTTGGGTTGATTCTAACAGATGATGTAAAATTGCAGCTGTGCCCCAAATTCACCTTCTTGGAATTAATTAGCTTACTAATATTACCTGTATTTCTAGATACACTGCCCCCTCCACCCCAAGGGCTTTGATTTCTCAAGTTCTAAAGAACAGAACAAAGCTTTATTATTAAGACAAGGCCAAAGACTCTGAAGAAAATTAACAATAACTTTGTTTCATGACTTTTTCACTAAGTAGACAAAGTGACTTGATGGGGACAGATGTTGTAAAACCTTATTAATAGAAGGACACACAAAATTGTCAGATAAAAACAATTGCTACATTAGTATCGTTCTGACTGGCATGCAGGAACACCAAATACAAAATCACAGACCACAGAAATCATGCAATAGGAGTTACCGTGACAGTTAAAGTAGTAATCCTCTGTTGAGAAAATGCATTGACAAAGACAGAGTTACCTATTTGTGTGCCAAAATACAATTACACATTTCTGAAGTAATCAACTTTTTGCATATGTTTTGGCATATTTTCTGAAGACTTAGAAGGAATTGAAAAGACACTGAAAATATATTATCCTATCTTCAACACAGTATAGTTGTAAAGAGTTTTAAAAAGTTCATTTTAGAATCTCATGTAAAAAGAAATCTACGGTTGAAGAAAAAAAAGTCACATTTTTAATTCACCTGATGAAAAATATTACACAGTAAAGTAATGCACACTAGGGTTTTGTCAGCAGAAAATTGTGAACTGAGAGATTTTGCTATTGATAAAAGCTCTACTATCCTAGAGGTAGGATAAAAGGTCTACTCTAGAGAGCACTTTGACTACAGAATTCAGAAATATTCTATTGCATGCTTTTTCTTTTAGTCTATAGCTTATCTGTTGCATTAAAATTAACTTTGTGTGTGTGCTTTCCATGACTAAAGATATTAGTTGACATACAATTAATCTGGTTTCTTAAAGAGCTAGAGAACTGTAATAAAATAGAGGGTGCCAAAAAAAGTATATACACCTTAAGTGAGGTTATCTACATTATTACTTGTCGAAGTTGAATTGAAGGTACTGTTACTGGTTAAGCATCCCTAGACGTGCTATACAAATCCATTTTACCTGTAATTCATACACTTTTTGGGAATGACTGATTTAACTTCCAACAAGACCTCTTAAAATGTGTATGCATATTTTTGGCACCCCATTATATTCTCTCAAAGTACGACTCTCCAAACATGATCCCTAATCCATGAGTTATATTTTTGTATTAATACTTTCTAGTTTAGATCTTGAGTGAAAAGTTCTATGGGGCCTATAAGTACTACATGAAATCACAGAGGGGGGAATATTTTCCACTAGGGGATCTGGTCTTAGAGAAACTTTATCTGATTATATGTAAATTTGTGAGTGTCAATTTAACACTATCTTTTTGTTTTCTACCCCTCCATTCCAATTATTCAAGTGGTTGTTACTGTTTTTATTATTGTTGTAAAAAACAATTTTAACATTATTAATCTCCTATCAAACACTTAAATGAGTTTCTAGTGACACCATGTCATACTTCTTTGGAAAGTTATATATTTCTGCATGTACACATATGGTTAAAGTTTGCATTTTATAATAAAAATCAGTCATGGTCATCATAGCTTTAGAGAAAACATAATAGGAAAAAAAAAATCAGTGCATCTAAGATAAAAAGGAAAATAGCCACAAACTGAGGACCAGGTATATAAAAGAGGAGGGCCTAGAATTTTATACCCTCAGATCTATGAAACATAAGGTATCATTTACTTTATTCTTAAGGGATTCACCTAGAACAAGAATTGGATTTATAGTTATGAGAAAGCTACTTTTCCTACTCTTATAATATAGATGAGTCACTTAAACAAGGCTATTTGAAAATTATAGGGTGGAAATAATTTTTTTATCATTGCTTTCTGATTACATATTACTTGCAAACTAGAAAGCAGAATTATAAAGCCTTAGAGAGGAAAGGGAGTTTAAAATTTGAACTGTGAAGTTTTTCCACCCTGTGCCATATATGAATTCATTTTGCCTGAACACAAACTAGTTTGTCATGTTTTCTTTTAAGCTGCATAGTAAAAAAAAAGTTATTAACAGTTACTCAATAAACAGATAGGTTTTAAATGATTTTGTTAAGTAACTATGTTTGTAAGACCTGAAAATTGTGTAGCGTCCCATACAGTTAACAGAAGAACAAATGACAGCAAGCTAACTTCACACAGATGTAGTTCTGACCACCGTCTGGAAGCGTTGGAGCGCAGACACACAGAGAAGTCCTAAAGATGTCGGCTCGCTCTGGATTTCATGTACATGGCCCCTCTAAGTTAAAGCTACATAAACTCAGCAGGGTTTCCTCTTGAACTGCAGTAATGATTTGAAAACCAGAACTTTTGGTAGTAATGGAGAAAGACGTGCCATTCTCTAGTGAGACATGATGTGAAATGGGAGGTGTGAACTAGAGCAACTGTAAATTGGGTAAAGCCTCGGAGGCTGCTGTGTGATTTATTCCCTGAGATGACTATAGGAATCTCTTTAGAATTCAAGGTTATTTTCTTTCATTTCTTACAATGATGCAAGCTTAAAATTATCCATGATTTATCCTACAAAACAGGTTAAGTTAAATGGTGATGAGAATTTTTAAAAGTTTGAGTTAGGAAACAGGTTTTACTGTTAATTGTGGAAATTTAAACACCTTAAATAAAAATAAATAGCTTATGGTAATGCTTGGGTAAACACCAATTTTCAATAGAGGCAACAGTAAAGTTTTAAATTTCTAATGTAGTCTGATTATAACTGTAATATACTCCTATTTATCTAATTTATCTGAGGTGGGTTTTTCTTGGGTAGATTATTTTCAGAGAGGCAATAATCAAATGAAATCTGTGAAACTATTACTAAACATCAAAAGAATTATGTCTACCACTTCTTCTTAATGTAACTTAATTGATTTTACTAGGGACTCTTAATCTACTAGAACACTATGTAAGAAAACCAATAAATAGTTTTGAATTGAAAAAAATAACTGTATGCTATTTATAAGTGCAACATATAGTTGTCCTAACAACACCACAAAAATAATAAGTCTTTAGGTTGGGACATCAGCATGAGCTAGCTGACTACGAGGCATATTGACTGCTTTATAGTCATACAGAACTCAAGATGAGAAAAAGAAACTGAGATATATATCTTTTCATATTAAGATGTGCCATTTTTTTTTAAGTATACTCCTTTCAGGCCTATCAGTAAAAAGTATTCAGAAGCTCCCCAAAATAGCTCTGGTAATAATGTTAGATTCCACAGACTCATAGAAAAATCTATTCCAATAACATCTTCATTTTGCAGATAAGATCACTGAAGCATAGGTATATTAAGTGATCTCCCAAAATGACTCAGCTAGTTAGTAGTAGCTGGGAGACTGAAACAGAGATTTCCATTTTAGGCTAAAATAGCTTGGTTCATGCTAGTTACTATTCATGCAAAGATTGCTTTAACAACCCATTCATAGTTTTGCAGAAAATGGCCAATAATTTTGGAGAAGTTTCTGGAAGATAAGAGGCTAGACAGCTCTTAAAGGTGGTAGCAAGAATTATAGTGCTACTGAAATGTCCTTGTTTAAGGGACATCTACAATACTGCTAACAAATTAAGTTTTTAAAAAGTGTCCATATACTATTTTATAAGTAAGAACCTTAAAACATAGTAGGCACACCAAAACTTTGTCTCTTTCTCTCTTTCTCTCTACATATAGTTATCAACCCATGGAAAAGGGAACTATTTATAAAACTGGCTGTAGAACTTTACAATAATCCAGGGGCTGCTGTGTACTTATACTGGTCTACTTATACTAAGGAACAGATGTTGACTGGATATACTGTCAAAGCAACAAATCTCCAAGTAGTAAACAGTAAACATGCTTTTCTTTGCATTTTACCAGAAGATAAAGAATGAAAAGATCAGAAAAATAGGCTGAACTGAATATAGATTTTAGAAAAACCATTTAACAAATACTAGTTAAAAATAGTAGTTGTAGCAAAGGACCCGTAGAGGTATAGATCTCCCATAATTGGATCATGCCAGTGAAATCATGAGGATGGAAAAATGATTCAAATAGGTACAAAATAGCAGAGAAATATTTCAAACAACTAATTTGGTTTTCAAACAAAGAAATGGCTTGTAATATGGCTGAGTGCAGTCACTTATGCCTGTAATGCTAGCACTTGGGAGGCGGAGGCAGGTGGATTGCCTGAGCTCATGGGTTTGAGACCAGCCTGAGCCAAAGCAAGACCTCATCTTGAAAAAATAGCCAGGTGTTATAGCGGGCACCTGTAGTCCCAGCTACTTGGGAGGCTGAGGCAAGAGAATCGCTTAAGCCCAAGAGTTGGAGGTTGCTGTGAGCTATGATGCCACAGCACTCTACTGAAAGCAACAAAGTAAGACTCTATCTCAAAAAGAAAAAAGAATGGCTTATACATGTGAACTAAGCATGTTTATTCAAACAATAACTGCTTAATATTTACATACCCATGTGTAAGTAGAACACATTTTCTGTCACCAAAAAATTTACAATCTGATGAGAGGCAAGACTAAATTCAAGTATGGATGATAAACTACTGGGCCCTGACTACTAACATGTACAGAATTAAAAGGTGGAACTCACCTGGGTGGCAACCATAGATTGTAGGATAGGATTTAGATGGGAAAGAAAGAAAAAAAGAGTGGAATGCACCCAGTCGAAAAGGACATTTGTGTGAATATGGTAAGAATGGTCACACAGGGAAAAACTCTATGCTGTGGAGAAATAAAAGGTTCATCATAGGAAGGGCAAGATTATAGTCTTAAAATGGAGAAGATTGAGCTTGATCAAATAAGCAGTGAGAGGTCACTTAGATTTCTGAGCCAATTAGAACCCTCAACGCAGAGCGAAATTATTGAAATTACCTTGGAGTGATACACAGGATGGATAAGAAAGTCAGGGAGACATTCTGGGGAAAGGAATTACATTAGGCATAAAGTAAATAGGAGATGGACTTTTTGGAAATGAAGAATAGGAAGCCTCAAGAGACACTTTCAAAAGAATGTAGTAGCACCTGGTAAAATAGAATAAATATATAACTAAAAATAGTTTTTAAATGTCTCTAAAGTTTCTATCCCCCCAAATTCAAAGACTCGCGGGGTCAGTAACAGAAACTAGTCTGTTAAGAAAGGAAATCATTTGGTAGGTGGGAGAGGTAATCGGCATAATGGCATGTACTCGTGGAAGTCAGTAGGAAATGGAGCTTCCAGAGTGAAAGTATTCTTAGACACATGAAGGCCCACACAGAATAGAGCAGGAAGCAAAATAATCCAGAATGATACTGTGGAAGAACACAGAAGGATGAATATGCCAAGAAAAGAAAGTCTCAAAATGATGGTGGTTTGGTCTAAATATCACAGAAAAGCAAAGGTGATGAGAACAATGGGTTTGACACAGAGGTTACTGCTGACCTTTGGAAGAGACATTGCCCCAGAATGATAATAGAGACTAGAATGCAGGAGTCTAAACATGAAAAGGATGAACAGGAAACAAAGGTGATGGAAACAAGCCACACACTCTATTTTTAACTTAAAGGAAGAAAAAGAATTGAAGTACAGCAGCAATAAGAAATACAGAGGGCTTACTGTGTGGTAACAGTGTTCTAAGTGTGTAATATGTATTTAGCCATTTGGTCCTCTCGACAACCCTTCGAGGCAGACACTGACTGCTACTATCCTCATTTTGCAGATAGGAAAACTGAGGCACACAGAAGTGAAATAACTTGCCTTAGGTCACACATTCGGTAAGCAAGAAAACTGACATTTGAACCCAAGCAGCTGCAGCTCCACAGCTGAGCTCCCTCTTTAAGAGGCAAAGATTGGTCCAACTGGCACAAGATTCACACCTGGTAAAAGCTTAAATATAGTCGAAAGTAGAAGGGAAAGAAAAGAAGGGATTCCAAAATGCTACAAAACAAGGAAGATGAACTGGAGCAGAGAGAAAGGTATGGGTTCAGGAGAACAGGGAGAAGGGTGCTTTGAGCAGCGGAGTTCCCCTGGCATGGAAGCTCATCAGTGTCCTTTCTGCGTGTCAGGGCGGGGAGCAGTCACTTACCTGTAAGGCTTCATGCAGGTTGCCATTGTAGTCTATGATCTCAGTGGCCCCTTGATCTCCTTTTTGACCAGGTGGACCCTGCAACAGAAACCCACCAAGGGAAAATCATGGGAGAGATGCTAGCATATAGAGGGGACTATGGCAGAAGCAAAAACAACAACTTGCAACTCTCTTTGACATTACTTCTCTACTAAGGCCCAACTGTGCTTTAGCATAAATAAATAAATACGTCACAATTCTGTCCTTATTTTGGAATAGGCAAACCACTTCTAACTTTCTGCCTCTTGTAGGTTAAAGAATGAGATATGATTTTCAAAATGATAGAACTTTTAAGAGACAAGTCTCTCGCTATGTTGCCCAGGCTGACCTTGAACTCCTGGACTCAAGCAATCCTCTTATCTCAGCCTCCCAAAGTGATGAGATTATAGGCAGGAGCCTCTATGCCCAGCCAAGACATGATTTAATCTCTGATACTGTTTTCTGAAAATTATAAAATATAGGCAAATATATAGCCCATATTTGACATAATATACAAAATTTTATTGACTTTCTCCATATTTATTAATATAACCCCTAACCTTTTCTTACTCATCCATATCTCATAGATTGCTTCCTCATTATTTAAAAATATAGAACACTGTTCTGTGGAAATGCTTCTCAACAGAAATGTCATGAAAATTAAACCAAATAGGCAGCAAAAAGGAGAGTATATATCTTTTTAAGACTTCTACTCTACTCATTAGATCTGCTACTTAATTTCTATTAGTCATGTCCTAATTCCCTCTCTTTTTAAAAAAGGCTCTAAACATATGGATTATTGCTTTCTTTATAATTGGATTAAGTGAAATATGGAAAATTCTATTAGCTGGATGGCTATGGACTTGCCATTGCTCATTGAACAGAGAAAAAGTGGATAGGAAAAGTCCTTTAGACTTTCTTCCAAAGGCAGCTCATTTTATGTGTTAGAATACCCACACTTGCTGCTCCTGACGACTAAAATAAAAAATAACAAGATGAGTGGATAGCAGGAATATATGGTAGTCCATCTCCAATGCTGTGATTGGGTATTATTAGTCCAGATGCCTTGTGAAAAGCCACACAGGCACTACTTCAAATCTGAGCTTGTAGGGGGCAAAGTCTAGATGAGAGGCACACTCACCCTTGGTCCCAGAGCTCCAGAGTCCCCTTTGTCTCCACGATCACCCTTTTCCCAGTGAAAAAAAGGAAACCTTAATTATTGGTGGTGCCAACAGTCTAGAAATCTCTCAAGTCTACGGATGTATTTGTACCTTACAGTGTCACTTTTATTGTGAACTTCTGAAGATGAAAACAATAACAGTAACCACCACCAAATGGTAAATGCTTATTTAAGATGAAGCTCGAAGGGAATTAAAATTCCTTTTTCACATAATAGAGTATCTTGGAACAAAAATATATAGTAACTCTCACTAGGTGGGATCTGCAAAAGCGAAGCAAATGGTTTCCATGGCACCCACAGCAATCTTTTACCTTTCAATCGAATCATGTTCTTCCTTTTATTTGAAGAGATTTGGGGCAAAGGGACAGAGAGCCAAGCAATTGTGCTGCCTGTCCTCTGAAGAAGAGTATAGATAATTGGGACAGAGAAGGAAAGCAGAGCTCATTCTAAGCATAATTAGGAGAGACGGGTCACAGGTCAGGCCTCCCTCAGATGATGGGACTCTAAGGAAAAGTTGGTTTTCGGTGGAAGCATTTTAAAACACAGACAGTGCTGAAGTGGACAGCAGCCAGGTGGACCAGGTTGGCAGGGCTGAAGGTCACAGCCAGGGCAAACCCAATTCTCTCTTTCTCTTTGTCCAGCCCCCCAATGCAATATGAAAATATCTGAAGTTTTATTTATGGTGTAATTACCTCAGCAGCAGAGACAACAGGAATAGTCTAAGCCCTCAAAATTCTCAGAAGTGTAAACTGAAACTCTGGAGAAGAAATTTGAACCTGTGTAGATTTAAAGGTTCCTTATGATCAGCCTTAAATATAGTGAGGCTTGTTCCTATGTAAACTTCAAAGCATTTTTACATGTCTTTCTATATATTCAGATAAGCTGGGTAAGGATTAATGAAGATAAACAGGAAAAAGGATTATAATTTTTCCTATCCACACTATGCTAAATGCATTGAGTATAATAATTAAATTTGCTATCAATAGAACATTAATAATCTCTGCTCTCCCTTTTCTTCATTTTGCCCCCATTTTTCCATGTTATTAGTTAATGGCATTTTAAATAACATGATTCTGCTGATAGTATATGCGGTATTACAGATAAAAAAAGAACATGACAATGGGAAGAATTTCAATTGGTGGCAAAACTTTAGTGCCCTGTTGGGATATTACTAACCTAAAAGCAAAGTATAATTTGAACATTTATCACAAAGATAGCTAAGGGTGAAAAATAAGATTATATAATACATAATTTAAATTAAGTAAAGTTCTTAATTTTTTCCAATAAAACTATTCTTATAAAACAGGAAATACGACTTCTTTTAAAAGAATAGTTTGAGGCACCAGTATATACAAAAACAAGCAAAATGAAACAAACCAATTGTTTTGAGAAACCATCACAGGGATGAAATTATTGCAACCCAAATGTGGGTTTAATCTAAAACACGATTCTCTGTGGAAAAGGCAAAAGAGCACAGATCTTGAAGGCCTCACGTTACATTAAAATGGTTACTGACCTTTGACCCCTTTGGGCCTCTAGCTCCTGATTCACCTGGCTTCCCCTATTGTAGGAGAATATGAAGATGAAAAAGAGAAAATGGCAGAGGAAATAAGAACAGACAAGAGAAATTAGCAGTAAATCAGAATAATGAAGAAAATGGAAACACTTTAACTGTTTTTAATGGCCTCAGTGTATGGCTCTATACAATGTCAGTTATTATAACACTAAACACAAGTACCATCATCATAACATTGGATCATTCGCTGGTCTCCCCAACCTTTATTCCATTATTATTCTGAAGACTTCCCTCCCATCAGTGGGTAGGAAGAGTTCTGGGAATAATTCTCATTAGGTTCAACAGTGTTTGCATAAATTTACTTTTCATCAGAGAGTAAGTTGTTTCCTCTGTCTTTAGGATGGGTTATTAAAATAAAGTGTGACCACATTAGTTTGCCAGAAGTTTAGATGAACAAAGGTTGAATAGTCAAATAAATCCTTAGCTCTAATATTTTTAAGGTGTTACAGTCCATTAAGTTACCATAGAAACAAACAACTGACAGAGATTTTCTCAGCAAGTTTTAACACTCACTGATAATGTGCTAATATAATAGCACTTTCTTCTTTACATTTGGATGTGTTATTAAATTTGATCGCTGAACAGAGTAAGGTAAACAGGGTATGTTGAATTGGAAAATCTCTTTTGAAAAAGAACCAATTGGTATGTGTTTCAATGAACTGTTTTTTATTTGGACTGTTTTAATACCTTGAGAAATTTCACGCACACATTTCCAAGTCAACAAATGCTATTTTCCAATGTAAGAAGAACTGACCTTTGGTCCAGGAACTCCAGGCTCCCCTCGCTCACCTCTTCCGGGAGGCCCTGCCTCCCCACGTTCACCCTGTCACAAATTGCAAAACAAGTAAATAGCAGATGCCCCAGGCTGGTTTTTGGCGATTAATAAAAAAGTTGAATGAAATCAAAGAAAGCAGAGAGTTATTTTTTATTTACCAAGTACCCAGAACTATATTAATCTCTTAACATGAATTTATCTCATTTAATAATCAAAACATTCTGGATGGTTAATTTTAGGTGTCAACTTGAGCGCATGAAGGGTCACATGAAAAGCTGCTAAAGCATTATTTCTGGGTATGTCTGTGAAGGTGTTTCCAGAGGACAGTGGTGTGTGAGTCAGTGGACTGAGGGGGAGATCAACCTTCAATGTGGGTAGGTCCCATCAAATTGGCTGGGGGCCCAGATAGAAAAGGCAGAGGGGAGGCAAATTCTGTCTCTCTCTTCTGGAGCTGAGACACCCTTTATCTCTTGCCCCTGGACATTGGAACTCCAGGTTCTCTGGCCTTTGGACTCCAGGATTTGAACTAGTAGGCTCCTCCCACCGCCTAAAAGGGTCTTTGCAGGAGTCCTCAAACTTTTTAAACAGGGGGCCAGTTCACTGTTCCTCAGACCGTTGGAGGGCTGGACTGCGGGCCCCAGGACAAGTCGGCTACTAAGCAAGACAGGCAGCAGCGGCAAAAACACCTGGCAGGCTGGATAAATGTCCTAGGTGGGTTGCATGTGGCCCACGTGGGGCCATAGTTTGAGGATGCCGGGTTGTGCTTTAGCCTCAGACTGAGAGTTTCCCCATTGGTTTTCTTGGATCTGAAGCCCTGGAACTTGTACTGAGCCACAGTACTGGCATCCCAGAGTTTCCAGCCTGCTGACAGCATACAGTGGGACTTCTTAGCCTCCATAATCTGTGGGCCCATTTTGCTCTTAAATCCTCTCTCAGCTCTCTCTCTATATACACATTTCTTTTTTAAAATTGATTTTGTCTTTCTGGGGAACCCTAAAAACAACAATTATTCAATGTGTTTAATAATAATATTATAATCCCCAATTTACAGGTAAGGAAATGGTTTAGTAAATGCCTGACAGATAGCTCTGTTGGTGAATAGAAAGACGTTTAAAGGGAATTGATAAAGATCATGATTGTATCTCAAGATAGGAAGAGACATCCATTTTCATTCTATAGCCACTTTGTAAGTATTTCTTGCAAGAGATATGACAAAGTGACTAAGTTCCAGATTTTGTAGTCCAGCATCCTGGGTTTTAATCCCGGCTCTGTTATTTACCAGTTCTGTACTCTGAGGCAAATTCGTTAAGTTCTGTAAACCTCAGTTTCCTCCATAAAAATGGAGAAAACAATAGTACTGATTCCATATTTCACAATGGTGAACATACAGGTGTTACAGCTTTTTGATATATAGGGTGTCCCAAACATCACCCCTAAAGTCATCATACTTAGGGAAAATGGGAAATTGTAGCTAAATGTACTTTTATTTACAAAATATTCATTCCAAATTTTTACAAAATATTTATAACATATTCTTTATGTGTGGCCCATCTCTTTGTAAAATTTGTACATTTTTCCCAATGTTTGATGACTATAAGGGTGACTTTGGGACATCTTGTATTCCTGGCTCTATGAAGTATAAACATGGCTTTTACCCTCAAGGACCTAGTGATCTAGTTAGACAACAGGCACATGAACAAAATAGTTAAGAATGAAGGACTAAGACTACATGTGACAGAAGAGGGATCGTCCTGGGTTCTGAATGTTGTGGATAGGATCCCTGGCACTGAGACTTGAGTTATGTCCTGGAGGATGGGAACCTTTTATAATTATTGCTGTTGATGACTACACCATGGGTGAGTACTGATTGCATGAAACACTTTCCATGCATTCTCCTGTTTAATCCTCAGGACAAATGGAATTATCCATATTCCACAGATGAGGAAGCACAGATGAGGAAGCTGTAGGTAACTTGCTCCAAGTCACAAAGCTTTTAAAGTGAGAATGCTGTAATTTAAAACTGATTGTGACCAATCTTCAATTTTTGCATAAATGTTTCTGAACATAATGTTTTTGCATCTCTCTGATTGTTTTCTTAGGATATATTCCTAGTTGGAGAATTGCTGAGTCAAAAAGTATGAACACTTTACATTTTATTTCTTTTCCTAGAGACAGAGTCTCCCTGTGTCCTTCAGGCTGGTTTCAAACCGCTGGCCTCAAGAGATCCTCCTCTCTTGGTCTCCCAAAGTGCTGAGATTACAGGCAGGAGCCACCGGGCCCACTAAAACATCTGAATACTTTAAAAGCTTTCCAAATTGCCTTCTAGGAAGATGGCATCATTTTACACTTCCTAAACAGAGGGAAGGGAACGACTTCCTGGGTAAGAAGTAGAATTTTAATAATTGAAGAGAGTTAAAATTCAGACAGTTGATGACACATTTATGAATGAGAGAAGTGCCCTCCTCACTGAAGGAACCAATTCATCTTGGAAACGATTAAAAAAAAATAGGATTGGATCCTTGTTGGTAATGTAGGGCTTTAAATTCAAGGATCTTTATCTGTATCTTGCTCACTTTGGGAAGCCTTTCTGGTTTTGTAGAGAAGTGGGTAGCTTCTGGTAAGGGCTAACAACATCTCAGTAGGTTTCTCAGCATTAACTGAGGAGGGTGTGAAAATGGACAGGTTGGGAGAAAGCCAAGGGACTTCACTGGATATCTGACATGATAAAGATGGTCCAGAAATCCTTTTTTGCCTTTTTGTTAAAAAAAATTCCTCTTATCCCCTGCTGGTAAAGTATGACTAATGGGCTTCTGTTGGTATATGGAATTTTTATTTTTTAAAAAAATGTACATTATTGGTGTTTCTTCTAATATTTTACTTTAAGAATTATAGAAGAATCCTAAAACAGTTGCTATAAGGTTTTTTTTTTTAGAGAAAATTAAAAACATTAAAAAAAATGTGGCTGTAGTTCATTATAGGAGTCTACATATCTTTACATAGAATCATAGAATCGTTTTTAATCACAATGCCCCTAATTATTTCTCTATCACTCTGTGAAATTATATTATTTCTTGACTTCCATCTTTTTATGTATCTTCCCCCTCCCGTACTAGACTATAAGCTTCTGGAGGACAGAGGCTGTTTTTGTTGCACCTACTTTCCATTCTAAAATATAGAAAAGAAGCTGGCAAAAAAAACTTTTATTGAATTACTGAATAAACAATTTTGTAGAAGTATTCTAAAATATCCTGACTATAATAATCCCATTTCTTTACATTTATGTAGAACTCTCCTAGGCATGGAAGTAGGCACTAAAGATACATACAGCAGCACATAAAACAGATTTTTAGGTGCCATTACATATTTTTCTTTTCTTTTTTTTCTTTTTTAAAGACAGAGTCTCATTTTGTCACACTTGGTAGAGGGCTGTGGTATCACACCTCACAGCAACCTTAAACTCTTAGGCTCAAGTGATCCTCTTGCCTCCGCCTCCCAGGAAGCTGGGACTACAGGTGCTCAGCACAACGCCCAGCTATGTTTAGAGATGGGGTCTCGCTCTGGCTCAGGCTGGTGTCAAACTCCTGAGCTCAGGCAATCCACCTGCCTTGGCCTCCCAGAGTGCTAGGATAACAGGTGTGAGCCACCGAGCCCAGCATATATTACATATCTTTCTTAATTATGGTCTCTCCTCACTGTGTTGGGAGAAAAAAAACACAGTTTGTATTTTAAATCTGAAATTTAGTGGTGCAAATCTAGACTGTTTATATACCTGGAAAATAGTAGTAGTGTTCAGCTAAAGGAGATTTTTAAATAATCTAACTTTCCCATTATGATACTGAACTCTTGTTAAGACAGGCAATTCAGATGACAGTTAACTTCAAATACTGTTAATAAAATGCACTTCCTACCTACATCCCTTCTTGTGGAAGCACAAAAGAGGTACAGTACATTCTTTACTGTACGGTCAGGGGTTCAGAGCAGTACCTGTTATAAAGTACTTGGTAGAACAATGTACTTGTAACAATCTACTTGGTCTGTAGAACAATGCTAGGTTCTTCATAATAGTAACTACTGTTGATTCTACCTCTCGATTTTTTTGGAAACTGCAGAATAGTTTATAATCAGTTAAAGAAAAGAAATTTTGAGATGGACTCCACTCTCTGCCGCCTGTCTGTCTTCTTTCTTTTCTTACACAAGAACAGAGACTCGTATAGCAAACAAAATGCCACAAACATTTACGGCTCTGGTCCATCCTTCTTTCCTTCTACATGACCAGCTCTCACCTTCTCTGTTACTGTCTTCACCCTGGAGGCTGACTTCTTTTCTCACCTGGCTCTGAGGCTGCAAACCTGAATAAATACAGCAGTTCTTCTATCCATAGGGAATGCTCATCATTCCCTTGCTTTCTCTCCCTTTTTATTCCAGAAGGCATTTCTTGTGTGAATCTGCTCAAACTAAAACAGGCATTCCTCATATTTTGTTAATAAGGCTGACAGCTCATTATGTGAGGAAGAAATTTCTTAAGAAAACAACAATTTTGCATAATTCCGCTGAGTTTCAGTCTCCCTTAGGCCATACATAGTTTCCATTTACTAGGATTAGAGTTATTTTCACTTGACCAGAGGAAATGAGTATTCTTCTGTCAGAACACACCATGAACATATTTCTCTAACACTTGGAAATCATCCCTGGTTTGTTTCTGGTGAACATAGTACACATTAAGGCAAAGACTGATTTGATTTAAAAATAAAAGAATGTAGCTGGATATGATGTTGCCCCTTCTTTGATTCATGAGCCTGTCATGAGTAAAGTTCCATTATCAGAGCCGCACCTTTTTATGTCTAACGGGGTAGATAAAAACAGAATATGGGCCTGACTGTATTCACAGCAACATACATTTTTACATGGCAACATAAAAAGTTTGCTTGTAGCATTCTCTCTAGGGTTGCCAAGTAGAAGATCGTGGTTTTCATTATTGAATAGTTCTGCAGACTTTATTCAGAGTAGATCTTTTCGGAGCGTGGCACTCAAGAATCTATATGACATCAGTACTTGCCTTTGAAATATGGGAATAGTAATAACACTTGATTTACAAGTATATCCTAGAATTGCTGGTGAGGAGCAGGAATTAAATGAGTTCTAGCTTTCCTCCTGAGAATTCCTCTACTGTTTCATATGGCCAGGAGGTTATAGCATCATACCAGTTTAGGACCAATTTGGGGGACTACTGGAACAACAAATATATTCCACCATCCCGTTGCCTTGCCTAAGGCTTTCTGGAGTTAATTTTCCAGAAACTTAACTTTCTATTTAATATGGTGTTTCTATTTGAAGTGTCAGTAATGGGTAGATTAAGCAGCTTTTGTTCTCTATTAGGCAAAAAAATCTGATCATCTCAATAACTGAGTTACCTTCTATTTCTTTCAATGGACTAAAAATATATGACAAAAGTTTCAGAAAAAAAGGAAGGAAGTGATTGTACTTACCTTTGTTCCTGGTAACCCTGGTAGGCCTGGTTCTCCCTGAGGACCAATGAAACCTGGTTCTCCCTTTAAAAAGACAGGCATATGAGATCATTATTCATTTGACAGTAAATAAATAAAGCTAAACTTATTTCCTGCTCCTAGGATTTTGCTTCTTTGATAATATATAGCTTTCTAGCTGAGATCTAGCTTCTGACTGTAAAATTGGTCAGAATAGGTCTACATCAGTGAAAACACTTTGAATACAATTTGAAGAAGTATTAGATAGTGAAAGTGACAAAGTTAGATAAATGTCTTTACAAGCTCCTTTCTTACCTGTCATCCAGTGTTTCTTACTTCTTACCACCTTAAGATCCACTGTGTTTGGGTGGATGTGATAGGAAGCCCTTAAGATGGGCCTCAACAACCCCACCCCCTGATGGTTAAGCCCCTGTGTAATCCCCTCTCCTTGAGCATGGACTGGATTTCCTGACTCACATCTAATGAACAGAACATGGCAGAAGTGATAGGACAGCACGTCTGGGTCTATGTTATTATGAAGACTGTGGCTTCCATGTAGGGGGCTCTTTCTTGTTGCTTTTGACTCAAATATCATGTTTTGGGACAGGCCAGCTGCCACGTTGTGTGCAGTCGTATGGAGAAGCTTACATTGTGAGGACTAAGTTCTGCCAACAACCACACGTGTGAGCTTGGGAGCAGGTGTCCCACCCCTGCAGAGTCTGTCCCAGCCCCAGCCACCTCATGAGAGAGCCAGCCAGATGCCTGTAGCTGTGCTGTGTCTGAATCCCTATCTCTCAGAAACTGTGAGATCGTTAATGTTTGTTTTAAGCCATCAAATTTGGGGATAACATGGTTGGCAAAAATAGATAACTGATAAAATGGATGTGGCCAGGGAAGAGATTTGGGAAAATTAAGCATGAAAGGAAAAAATCTCTCTTCTTGCCATACTTCTAAAAGCTCCTCTCCACTGCCTGGAGGAAACCTAGCCAGTATAACAAAACTATATTTGGTCTTAATCCCCAATTCCTGGCACTAACCACCTAAAAGCCTGGGAATTTTCTGGGTGATAGGAATAAGGAACATCTTTCAGTGTTCATAACCTACCCCTTCCAGCCATCCCTGAATTTATGTAAATGAAGTGACTCTTAGCAGGCCCCTAGATAGCTTCAGGATGAAAACTGGTCACCAGAGGAACCAACTGTTGATAAGAAGGTTGGAACTTCCTGCTTCATCTCCCAGCCTCTGGGGAGGGGAGAGTGGCTGGAGATGGAGTTCATTCTCCAATGGCAAATGACTTAATCAATCATGCCTATGTAATGGAACCTCCATAATCTCCCCAAATGACAGGGACGAGAGAGCTTCTGAGCTGGTGAGCACATCCATGTGCCAGGAAGGTGAAATGTATCAACTCCCCAGGGACAGAGGCTTTTGTGCTTGGAACGCTTCCAGATTTCACCCTGTGTACTTTTTTAGCTGATTGTTTGTTTTCACCCTTTACCATCAATTGCAATACTAAGTACGGCATTTTCCTGAGTTTTGCGAGTCATTCTTGCAAATTGTCAAGCTTGGTTTGTGAGAACCGCTGAATTAGCTGCCAAGTGGGTAACCTGGGGACTAGATTAAAGTGACTGGTGCCTGAACTGAGGTCAGCCCTGTGAGATCAAGCCCTTAAATCTATTGAGTCTGATACCAACCAGGGTAGTTAGTGTCAGAATAGGATGGTGTCAGAGAATCAAAGAGCTAGAGAATTGGTGTCAGAAAAGACCTGAGACTAGTATTCATAATGTAAAGGTCTTGGATTGTTTATGGAGCAGTTTTTAATGTTGTTTGATATATTTGATTTTTTTCTAAGGCAGTAGTATTTCAATCTTTGTTTCATGATACTTTGAGTTGAGTAGGAAGGTAGAGAGGGAATGTTTTACAAGATATTCTAAAATGTCATAAAGTATTTTTCAAACAAGTGAATTTTCAAAATATGCCACATAAAACCTTGGGTACTAGGTGGAGAACAAAAGATTATTACCACCACAAAACATATCATACTGATTTATAACTCATATAGATTTATCTCTAGCTCTAGTGCTCATGAGATGGATTTAAGAAAAATAAAGAGGTTGGGGTAGGGAACCAATGCTCTAGGAAGGTTGCTTGTGAACTTTCTGTAATTCCCTATTCTACCTACCCCATTCCCTTGTATCTAGTGGAAAGGAGAAGCTGAAAATGTAATTTTGGGTGGCTCTCTTACTGGTCTAAAATGAAAATCTGAACTATATTCAGAGATATCAATGATGACCATTTTACTTCTAGTAAAGGAGTTTAACTTATTTCATAAATGCAAAAATTATAAGGAAGACATTTATTTACATGTAAAATATTCTCCCTATAAAATGATATATGCAAATAAACAAATACACCCTCCCCACTTTTAAGAGAAATGCTGTGTTAAAGTCAATGTGTGTCATTGGTAACAATTTCATATCATGAAAATGCAAAGCACGTTAATATGTTAAAAGTCTTACAAGTAGACAAAAACTCTTCCATGTCTTCAAGTAGAAATAAAATTATCTCATGTTTGCTTAGCAAATCAGGTAGAGGCACCATTAAGACATACTAATAAAAGAGAATTTGAAAAAAAAAGAGTAAATGTTGCATAATACACTTCTTATTCAGGTTAGTATTTAGTTTATAAAAAGATGAAACATGCAGGGGCATTATTCACAAACAAATAAATGAGGCTCTGTGATCTAAGTAGCCAGACAAAAGTGTTTTTCTCCCTTTTTAAAAATATAAAATACTATTAAAACAGTCACACTCTAATGGGGGAAGTGGTCAGGGACTCACCCACCAAAGAGTTTTGTACATTTGTTTAAGCAGGACAACAGAACACATGGAATCAGACTGTCATGGGGTCAATCCATGACCCTCCCCCAGAGGAATGAGACTTTAAATTCCCCTTAGCAAGCATACAGAAAGTTCTTCTAAAACAGAATGTTCAGGGGGAATTATTTTATTTTACTTGTTTATTAGCAATAATTATTTTATTTTACTTGTTTATTTAGCAGCCTCAACAATTTTAGCACTATTAATATTGGCTAATTTTAAAGGCTTTGAGTTTGATTAGTTATACCTGATCACGCCACTCTGAGAAAACATCTACCATATCTATGCATTCCCACATACTTATTTCAATTAATCGAAGAAGAAAAATAGCATACTTTGAGATGACAGTTTTATGTTCATTTATTTCCAGAGCTCTCAATCATTTTAGAGACATTACTTCTATTCTCTCTTTATTTTGGCAGGGTGGGGAGGAGATAAGTATTGGTCTCTTTTTTCTCAGGGTTCAAAAGCAATTGTTGAAGTATATAAGGCATGGATATATCCACTTGTGGTCTTGAGCTGGTTGGGCTGATTCTTAACCTTCTTAAGCTTATACCAGAGTTCTCAAAGTGTGCTCTGAGGCCCTCTGGGGATCTCTGGACCTTTTCAGGGAGTCTTTAAGGTCAAACTGTTTTCATAATACAAAGACATTATTTATATTTTGTTTATTTAACTTTCATTGCCCCTTGAATGCACAGAGTATGAAAAATTCATTACATGGTTGTAGATTCCACATTGCACCTAACTTTTAAGAAACTACCACTTGTGGAGTTTGGAGTAGTATCAAAGAAGCATATCAATAAATATCTGAATAGGCCATTAAAATAACCTCCCCTCGTCCAGTTATATATCTGTATAAGGCTGGTTTTTTTTCATATAGTTTAACCCAAACAACAAATTGCAACAAGTTGAATGCAGAAACATATATGAGAATCCAGTTGCTTTCTAGTAAGCTAGACATTAAAGAGATTTGACCAAAAAAAAAAGTTATAATTCATAAAACATGCTATTTAACATGTAATTGATTTAAAATTTTTTCTGTTATAATTTCAGATACAAAAATATCAAAAAAAGCTCTTTCAGTTCTAATCTTTAGGAGTGTAAAGAGATTGGAGGCCAAAATGCTCAAGAACTACTGTACAAAAATGTAGAATTATGTTAAAGGCTGACTTCACAAGCTAGAGTCCTGATTGCCAAATAATAGAAGACCTGACATTGTTGATAGGTGGTTTAGATAAGATCTACTACAAGAAAATGCAAGAAAGCACTTAGTTCTCTCTCTAGAATAAAGTATTTGCAATATATGCTTGTTATTATTGTTTCCCTTATCTTATAGGCTTAAAAACTTAGCTATTATTAATATTATTAGTAGTAGTAGTATTACAGTTTCTGCAACCTAATTGGTAATATACACGGTGTCTTCTTGTCACCTTTCAACCTGCCTGGGGCTACATTCAATACTTCTTCAATTTCTCTTAAGAAGTAACCCTAAATTTCCACATACGAGTATATCCTTATCTTCTGAGCAACATCTATCTTCTAGGGTAGTAAGAACTGCAAAACCAAAAGACATTTAAAACATACAAACTATGTAAGACAGAGAAATGACAGATTTTCTAAGAATAAGTTTTCTTCCCTTAAGAAAGGAAAAGAGGAAAATGGTCATACCTATTAAATTTCCCTAAATAAATGAAACCTTAAAAAATTTTTATTGGAATTGATTTTACTGAATAGTAAAATCTCAAGTGACAAAATCAATGTACACAAATCAGTAGCTTTCATGTATGCCAACAACAGTCAAGATGAGAATCAAATCAAAGAAACAATACCTTTCTCGGTAGCAACAAAGAAAATAAAATACTCATGAGTATTGTTAACAAAGGAGGTAAAAGAGACAGAGAATTATTAAGTACTCAAGAAGAAACTGCAGAGGATATACACAGATGGAAAAATAGACCATGCTCATGGATCAGTGGAACCAACATTGTTAAAATGTCTATACTACCCAAAGTCATTTATAGATTCAATTCAATTCCCATAAAAATACTAGTGTCATTGTTTGCAGATCTAGAAAAAATAGATCTGTGCTTCATATGGAATCAGAAAAAACCCCAAATAACCAAGGCAACCTTACATCATAAGAACAAAGCAGGAGGCATCATTTTAACAGACTTCAAGCTCTACTA